TTATGGCCATTGTCTTTGTCGTCCACAAATGGAGTCATTATCTTCTTGGCCGCAAGTTTACCATCAAAATGAACCAGCGAAGCTTACAATTTTTGACAAATCAGCAGGTAAAAACACTGAAACAGCTACAAACGCAAACTTATGGCCATTGTCTTTGCCGTCCACAAATGGAGTCATTATCTTCTTGGCCACAAGTTTACCATCAAAATGGACCAGCGAAGCTTACAATTTTTGACAAATCAACAGGTAAAAACACCGGAACAGCACAAGTGGATTTCAAAATTGACTGGGTATTAGTTTAAGATCTATTAGTATCCGGGAAGCTCTAACAAGGTGGCTGACACCTTATCAAGAAGAGAGGTAGAAGGGGAACTCTCAGCCCTCACCACCGTCTAGTTTTTAGAGTACGAAGAGTTGGCTGCTGAAGCACAGCGAGATCCGAAGCTCCAAACACTTTATTCCTTGCCAATCACACTTTATTCCAAGAATTCTGGCTGAGTTTCATTGCAGCCTCAATGGGGGACATTCGGGGTTTTTTTGCACTTACAAAAGGGTATCAGGTGTTGTGTATTAGGAGGGCTTTCGCCAGGATGTTCAGGAGTTTGTTAAATCTAGTAGCACATGCCAATTAAACAAACATTCCTCCCTCAAACCTACCAGACTATTACAGCCATTGCCAATTCCCACCCAAGTCTTTAAAGACTTGTCCATGGACTTCATAGCGGGGTTACCAAGAGCCAAGGGACATGATACAATTTTGGTAGTTGTTGATAGGCTCACCAAATACAGCCACTTCCTCCTCTTAACTCACCCCTATACCGCCAAAGAGGTAGCTGCCTTATTCATACAAGAAATTGTCAAACTCCACGGTTTTTCGTAATCCATTGTGTCGGATAGGGATAGGGTGTTTATGAGTCAGTTTTGGCAAGAAATGTTTAAAGTTGCGAGAACAACCCTTAAGTTTAGTTCAGCCTACCATCCTCAAATGGATGGCCAAACGGAGGTAGTAAATCTGTGTGTGGAAGCCTACTTAAGGTGCTTTTGCAGTTCTCAACCAAAAGAGTGGCCTAAATGGTTATCATGGGCTGAATTTTGGCATAACACAACCTACCACAGCTCTACAAAAATGACCCCATTTAAGGCCCTCTATGGACGAGACCCCTCTCCTACTCAAATTGACTGATAGTCCCTCAATGGTAGAAGATGTCAACCAAAAACTTCTGGACAGAAATGTCATGTTGGATACACTCAAGCACCATTTAAAAGTAGCACAATGTCAAATGAAAGAGCAAGCTGATCGGCATAGATACGAAGTCATTTTTCAGCCTGGGGCTGGTGTATTTGAAGCTCTAACCCTATCAATTTCGCTCTTCAGCAAAGAAGGTGAATGAAAAACTAAGTCCACGATTTTATGGACCTTTTATGGTGTTAGAAAGAATTGGCCAAGTTGCTTATCGGCTGGACTTACCCCTTTTAGCTTGGATTCACCTGGTGTTCCATGTGTCTCGACTCAAAATAAGCCTCCATAGTTTAGTTCCAGTCCAGCCGCTGCCTCCTTTCCTTACTGAGGATCTGGAGCTGCATGTGCAACCCGAAGTTGTCCTCTGAAGCCGCTAGTTGCTAGATGGTTCCCGGGAAGTGCTCATCCAATGGAAATACTTGCCTCCATTTTAAGCCACTTGGGAAACCTACAATGTAATTAATGTTCAATTTTCAGAATTTCACCTTGAGGACAAGGTGGTTCTTGAAGGGGGGGTATTGATAAGCCTCCTCTAACCCAGATTACCCAAATTTACAACAAGAAGAAGGGGAGGGGCAGAAAGGGGAATTGAGTGGGGAATTAGTTAAAAAGGAATCTGCCACGTGGACTCTAAAAAAAATGGGCATTGAGAGTGTGACTTCATTCTAGTATATAAGAGGGGAAAAACCATGTAAAAATCATCAGTAAATTTCAGAAATTCTTGGGAGTTCGCTAGCTCCTCAAACTGCTAGCAGCCTGGGTTTTGTTGTTTCCTTTATCATCTTTTATATCATTGTTTTCTTTATTATCATCTATCTTAAATACTTGTCAATTGTGTTTGGTTCAGCAATATATCAATCAATTCTGGATACTCTTGTTTGTGTGAGGATTATTGGATTGTTTTGTTGGGTTGTTTTTGGTTGATTCCCATCATGGTGGCAGGTTGGATTTTGGTGGTGAGATTGGTCAGAATTTGACTTGGGGGCAGCTATGCGTATCACAAATCGCTCGATTTTCTGCAATTGGCAGGCTCAATAGGAGCAAGGTTTGAGGGGTTTTGCTGAGTAATGAGTGGGAAAGACAATGATGGTGGTATGGGGTCGCAACGATGCTAAAATTAGCCAACGATTGGTTAGAATATAAACTTTGGGTTGAAAAATGTCATTAAGGCAAACCCTGGGTGGGAAAAAGTCGTTTCCTCTAATTTTAATAGCAAGTTATATATAGAGGGTAATGTTACACAGATAAAGTTGGGAGTCGAATTTCGAAACTCAATCATTTACTTGAATTCGAAATTGAAGTCTCGATGTTCCATTAGAGATATTCTTATGCTGTATATCTGGAATAATTTTTTGGTGTGCACTTAGAAACCTAATTCAGAATTCATTGGCTACAAAGTATCTCATACTTGCAGCTAACAATTATCTGAAGTTAATTTTGACCTAGTCAATCAGGTTGTAACTTCCATTGTCAATGTTTTGAAGGTTTACAAGAAATTGGTCATTGTCGGTTGACTTGTTAAAACCTTATTATTTATTAAGTTGGTGATGATTTTTCACCTAACGGAATTAATAAATGGGCAGGTAGTCAAATAGTTTCTTTTTGACAAACACAAAAAAGAAGCATGTCATTTAATTCAATGCCAGCCTATGAGAAAACCCCAAATCAATGCCTTTTTGCTCTACAAATTTCAAACTCTTTTGAAAAAGTTTTAGAAGCTACAATGCCATCGCGTGATTCTAACCATGTATTTATATTTTTAAATAAGAAAATTATGAATTAATCTTAATCATATATTTATTATTAGAGTGTGCTTTTTGTTTATGATTAAGATATTCATATCAACTTACACGTACTTGAATTAATTCTCTAAAGTTCTAAAAATATCGACCAAATAAAAATTTTAATAGTTATTATTAGAGTGTTATCATTTAGATAATACTTATTTTAAAATTTATTAAAAGAGAGAGAGAGAGAGAGAGAGAGAGAGAGTTTATTAAAAATCGATTATTTTTATCATTCATATATATTTTGTTTATTGATAAATAAGTATTTATTAAATGATAAAATTATCTCCTGATTGATACAAATAAAACTTATGTCTTTTTTTTTTGAATAAACATTGTCTACTTTTTTTAATTATCAAAAATCACTGAAAATTATTAAAAACCCTTTATAAAATTATTAAAAATCTTATCAAAAATCTTCAATAAGAGTTACGGTATATCTCAAATTAATCAATCATATAATAACTTTTTTATTATTATCATTACATGGGCAACCAGAAAATTGGAAGAAGAGAAGAATCAATCAAAAGTCTTTGTGTCGTTTTGATTGGTCTTGGGAAGCAGAAGAATGATAGTGGAGGCAAAAGAACGGAAAGAAACAACACAAAATATTAGTGGCCGAAAAAATGGAGGCCACACAAATCACAATCTTCCCAAACTTTGAACCTAAAAAAAAAAAAAAAAAAAAAAATTGACTTTGATTCTCCATAATACACTACTAACTTTCTACAAAATTAGACATCTTTCAATTCATTAACCAATCCCCGTTGTAAATGACAAGTAGAAAATTCCACCACCATAGCCCACATAAACCAAGACTTAGACAAAATTCAAGAGCCATGATTTTGATAGAATTTGAGGTAGGTCTAACTTCTCACCCAATAAAGTCTTGTTGAATGGGAGGATTACCCTTTTTTATAAACTAATAGGCTTGATCGTGTCTAATCGGTGTGAGACTCCAACACTCCCCCTCACGGTCAAGCCCATATGTTGGGTCATGCCTGTTATTGGAGGTAGTTGTCGGCTATAACTCCTCACTCGTTGGTCAAGCACTCAGCTCAACTGAACCTAGCTCTGATATCATGATAGAATTTGAGGTGGGCCTAACTCCTCACCCAATAAGGTCTTATTGAATGAGAGGATTACTATTTCTTATAAACTAATAGGCTTGAGTGTGTCTAGTCGGTTTTAGACTCCAACAGATTTGACACCAAAGCTCATTTGCAAGATTTTGAATTGGGTTCTCATTATTTTTCTAAATTCTAAGTATCCACCTATAATACTATTCTTCAAGGTATTGAAATGTAATACAAGATACTAAATTGGGTTGTTCTTATTATAATTGGTAAATTGTTGATTTGATTATTAAAAATTAAATAAAAAAATCAGTTGTCACGATTCACTTGAAATATTGTCTTTGCTCTAATGGAAAGTAGTAGCATTATTGGGTATTACTATTATAATTGCAATTGACAAGTACATTTAACTAACACACATCATGGAAAGTTCAAAGTCCACCCATTTTGCTTGAGAAACAAGACATTTCTTCTTCCCATTATCGGCCGCCACATTATCATTACACGAATTTTTATTTCTTTTTCATTCTTATTGTCATAGCTGTCGCTGGAAATTGCTACAATTGTATTACAAAAACAACCAGATTGATTTGATTTTTATTGATTCGATGCACTCTCAAGTCCAACTGATATATCAGGACAGTGCTACAAAAGGAAGTCCAATCAATGACCTTAAATTTGATTCTATTATTGATTAACTTTTTTCAGTTTGAAAAACATGTAATGAATATGTTGACGATTTTTTTTTTTTTTTTTGAAATTTTAGATTTATGCATCGGTTCAAATTACTTGAAAAGACGTGATACTTTGGATGTACCCACTATTTTCTGGGGTGAACGATCTTAAAGAATCAAAATTTAAATAACATAAGAGATTAGAGATACTGAATAAAGAAGGTAGGAAAACTAAGAAAATTTATATCAAAAGTTTCATTAGGTACAAGGAGTTGCAAAATCTTGGAAGCTCCAAGAAGGAGAGACAAAAAACTCAAGACTCTCTGTGACAAATATGACAAAACTCTCAAGAACTTTGATGCATGATGTTCTTGAGATTTTATTAACCACATTTACTAAAATCATATTCCTAACTGCAAAAATTTATCAGCATGAAAAACTCAGAGTTCCATCAGCCCAAGCAAAGTCCTCCAGGCTAGGCTCAATATCAAATAAATTACTAATCACCTCGCCATTTCCCAAATCTTCAACCACACAAGAATCTTCAATGTAATTTTGATTAGGTACTCCGTAGAATTGGCCATAGTCGTCCTGGCATTGCTTAAACATGTCCTCAAAACCAAAATCGCCCAAATCTTCACTCATTGATGGTGATAAGTCTGGCACTTCCAGCAGATATGAAATAGATTGCTCATCTTCATAATTGCATTCTCTTCTGGCAGCCTTCTCCACATTGCATCCTTTCACAAACTCCTCCACGATGCCGTTCTCTTCTTTGATTCGATCTCCAAATGCATTAGCAAGTGAAGCTGAAGTCGTTACATCCAGCACTGACGATGGCGATGGATGAGAAAACATATCCTTAGTCTCTTCAGACACTGAAGTTGATTCAGTTGATACAATTGACAAATTCTTGATCTTCTCCGATTCAATCATGCTCTCAAACTCGCGCTTCTTGTTCTGATAAGCCATAGCAGCCTCCTCTGCAGTATTATAAGTTCCAAGCCAAACTCGAACCCGCCTGAATGGATCCCTGATCTCTGCTGAATACTTCCCCCAAGGCCTACGCCGAACGCCTTTATATATCGTAGATGACTTATGAGTTTTCTTATTTTCTTCCAACTTAGTACCATCACCATCTTTACTAGTTTTGCCTTCAACAACATTTTGCTGCAAAGAATTTTCTCCACTGGCTTCGTGCAGCGAACCCGGAAGAGAAATCTCTGTAACATAACGCTTAACACCATGAAATTGAGTTCTTCTGTGATGGTAGTCATCATCATCTTCACTTGAGGAATCTGTGGCCTCAGGATCATGGTAGATTATGCGAAGCTTCCTCATTGAAAACGAATTCTCTTCTCTTTTTGGCTTTGTTTTGCGAAAATTCATCTCTTGATTCAAAATTTGCCTTTGGAGGCCTGGCATTATATTATTATAGGAGACTATAACTTGAACAAGGAAAACAATAACCTCTTAAATCCCTAAATAAATCAAAATAGGAAAGGAAATCTTTCGCAAATTTGACTACTTGATTATCAAGAAAAACTCAAAATCCACAAACCCAAAATTGAATAATAACAATAATAATTATGATGTTTTCTTAAACAAGCCTCAAAGCACTCAACCCAAGAAGAATCCCTGCAATAAAGAAACAAAAACAAAACAAAACAGAGCAGAGCAGAACAAAATCAGAAACAGCCTAAAACCCATCTCATAAATCATGAAACAAACACATTAACAACTGGATTTCAAACAAATATGCAATGAAAACAAATCAAATAAGACAAACCCACTCACCTTTTTGACCTGGATTGCATACGAAAACTGAAAAACCTCTGAGTCTTGCTCTTTTCAAGAGACAAAAAGTTCTCACACAAGTTGAAGAAGAAGAAGAAGCAACAAGAGAGAGTGAAAAACCAGAGCTTGTTGACGGCCCCAGTGTTTAACAGATCAGACTCAGACGACATAAATATCCTCTGTTTGCTTGCCGAGAAAATCTGGAAAAGAAGAAGAAATCAACACAAAGACTAAAACTTTTAACAGCAAGCACGAAGCTTTTGTTTCCAAAAAACAACATACTGATGACAAACACAAAAGCATGGCACCTAAATTAAACAGAGAAATTGACAGAAAATGTTGTGTTGCTTACTTAAATAAATGAATGGGAAAGGGGCTTAATGCTGATTTGTGTGTAGGAATCCCTGAAGAGAGTGTCTTTATACTTAAAAACTTAAACTTTTTGTTGTTACGGTGAGTGGTAGTTTCAAGGAAGACTTTGAAACCCGCATGCACCAAACAACGACCACCTCCCCTAAGCCAATCCAAACTGTAGATCCTCCATGGCTGTGGCCCCGCGAATTTTTGTAAGATTTAATTTATCAATTATTCAAGGTTTTTTTTGGAGCTAAAGTTTGAGTGTACAATGTTTATTATTATATTTACCTCTTTCATTATAATGAAAATTTCCATTAAGACAGCAAAAGGAATATTTAAAATACCGCTTGTCCACTTAAATAATGACTTAATGACACTTTTTCTGTCCAACACTTTTAAAATACCATTTTTTCACCCAAAAAAATATACTTTTCAACTTGATAGTGAACGGAGAGCAAATTCGATCCATACTGATAGGACTTTTAAAGAGAAGAGACGGGTGAGTTTTTTTGTGGTGAAAAATTAGATTTTAATAGTTGTGATTGGTCAGAATTTGACTTTGGAGGGATACGATTATAAAAACCCTAATCGTTCGATTGTCAGTGATTGGCGGGGTTAACGAAAGTAAGGTTTAAATGATTTTTGTGAGTAATAATTGGGAAAGAGAATAATAGTGGTATAAGATCACGGAAATGCCAGAATCGATCGGCTATTGGCGGGGTAGAAAGTGTCATTAAAATTTTTATAAATGGAAGTTGTTTACTTTTATTTTTATAATTAAAATAAAATTTATATTTTGGAATAACCAAAAAAAAAAAATGGCTTTTCTCAATGGTGGGACTATGTGTACTCATAACAATGTTTTACACAGTAATATTATTAATATTTAAAATAAATTCTAATTTAAAGTTTTTTTTTTTTTTAAGGGCATATAACCTAGCTTTTTTCTCTGAAATGGAAATAAAATATTTCATTGGAATGAGTGAATGTCAAATTTTAGAAAAATATTATATCATAAAGAAATAATTAAAAGATTTCCTATATTCCACCTATTTTGTGCTTGGCGGCAGTCAGTAATTAATGTTTAGTCCATTATTACAAGTTTCCAACTATGAAATGGTAAATGAGAAAATAGCATGAAACATGTCATGCTGTTTATTAGTCAAATAAATACCAACTCTATTAAACAAAAGTTTAATTCCTTAAATTCTAAATCTAGAAATATTATTTATAAAGATTCCGTCCTTCTATGTCACCCTTTTTACAAAGAATAATTCTACTTTTGTCAAAGTTTTATCTAGATTTTTCTTACTTTTTTTTTTGTGATAGTAATTTAGCTAAATAAAATAAAAGATAAATTAGTGTTTGATATAAAAATAATTTATTAAAATAAAGATTATATAAGATTTTCAAAGGTGAAATAAAGAAAAACATTAAGGGAAATGATTTTTTAGAGGGGGCACAATTATGTAATGGATTAAGATATCACGGATACTTTTACCGGCCACTGGTGACAAATTTCAGAGGGGCCTGTGCCCCTTAGGGCATCTCCAACCCACCCCCACCAAAATGGCGTGGCACTGTAGCTTTTTTTTTTTTTTGTTAATTGTTAAGTTAATTTGATATTAATTTTATATCAAAATCACAACCAATTTGATTATTTTGATTTATTTAATTTGATTATTATTATAATAATACATTCATAATAATGATATAATTCAAAAAATATGAAAAATTAAAATAAAACTTATTGAATGCAAATATTAAACTACAATAAGTCAAAATAAAAATTAACACTAATTTAAAAACACTAAATCTAAAAAGCTTGAATGGACAATACATCTTTTTGAGCTTGAATGGACAGTACATCTTTTTTAATACATAATTGATCATTGTGGGAAGAACATACAATTCAAAATTAAATTACTATCAATAGAAATTTTACTTTTATGTTGTTGTTGTTTTTTTTTTTTTTTTTTTTTTGTATCTTTTATATTAGATGTAATGTTTTTCTATATTAAATGTAATATTTATTTGATTAAATAAATGCTAAATTTTATTAAATTAGTATAATTTTCAAAGTAATTATTATTTAATAAAAATATAATTCTCAATATTTAATTAATATATACAAAAATAATGAGTGAAATAGATTAATTATTGATTATTATAATAAAAAAAAAAGTTTTTTGGTGTAATATTTGGTGTAATGGGTTGGAGATGCAATAATGTTTTATACCAAAATTTACACCAGTTACTTATATCAAATTGGTGTAATGAATTGGAGATGGTCTTTCAAGGTTTGCCTCTGACGTCACTTAACAAATCGTCTAGTCATTTTATGTAGTCTTAATCAATTGACATATTACCGGAAGACAATGTGATACTATGTTTAATAAATGAATAATGAAGATCTTTAAGGCTTCTTTTGGTTCAAAATTTTGGGTTTTTGGGAAAAGTGTTTTGAAAAAAGTTAAAAAAAAAATTGAATTGGGCGGGTATTACGATGTAAGATTTACAAATTAATAAAATACCTTCTATGTTTGTTTTTTTACAAAACACCCCCTATAATAAAACATTAAAAGTTAACAAAAACACCTCCAACCCACCCTCAAATACGGACAGCCGACCACCACCGCTGGAGGGTGGTCGGAGTCGCTATAACAAAAACATTAAAAATATTTAGGGGTATTTAATTAAATTAATAAATTTAGGGGTTTAAAAAAAGTTGAATAAAGTTGAATAATATTATGAGTTTTTGGGTATTTTACTGTTTAACTTTTTTGGGAATACTAAAAGTAGTATTCCCAAAATCCAACCAAACGAAACCTAAATCTTCAATAATTTTCTGGAGTTGAAATGAAATGTTTGGCTTGAGAGAAAGTAAGAGAAAAAATTTACAGAGAATTCTAGAAAATGAAGAATTATATTACTTATAAATTAACGATAAATAATTTATGAAAATTTTAATTACACATGTTTATTTCACTATGCCTTTTTACAATTTTTTTTTTTTTTTTTCTTTTTACTCGAGATCAGGGGCAGATGGAGGGGGAGTCAACGAGCGTCAATTGACCCTCCTTAACTTTGCAAAATGATCAGATATATATATATAATTAACTTTTAAATTCATCAAATATATCAAATTAATTTTTTAGTTTTACGAAAAAAAAATCTCACAAATACATTTAATAAATTATATAATAAATTTTTTTATATATTATTTAATTATACAAAGAACAAAACGAAGAAAGTTTGTATATCTTTTCATATATTTTATAAAATAAATATAATTTCTAAAATTTGTTTGTCAAATAAAACTATTGTCAATTATTTTGTGTTTCAATACTTATATATATATATAGCTAGCTTACAACCCACTCTCACGGCCCCTACTTAAATTGCAATTGCTCAGATGGAGAATCGAATATGAAACCGTATGTCTATCTATACTATCTTCAATTCGTTCTAACCATTTAAACTACCCACAGATGAGTCATATTAAAGTATTAAAGTTAAAAAAAAAAAAAAAAGATAAATATAAAAATATGTATTTTGATACGTTACTTTAAGGGATCGAAACATAAAAGTAAAATTACAATATAATATTTTACTATAAAAGCTAGATAAATCTTTGAATATTTTATTAGTAGAAAATTTATTATAGTTTAATTTGAAGGTGCTGTTATTTGTGTTGGCTTAGTGACTTGGTCATTATTAAATTTTTTTTGTTTTGTTTTACACTCGTTAAAGTATTATAAAAACACAATCATAAATATATTAATTATAAAAAGCATTATAAATAAATACTTATATTTTTGTATAACGTATACCCAATATATTATTTATTGTAAGTTTATTTACAATTATATTATTAAGTTTAATTAACGTCTTGACCCCCTCTATAATGAGTTTTTGGCTATGACCCTGCCCGAGATGTTCGAGCAAGCTTGCGCACACCTCGACTAATCCCTAAAGACCCTAAAATTAACGACCGGATAAACCTTCCAATGGACAACCCTATTAGCAGTCAAGGGGACTAATCTTGGGGCCCTAAAGTTAATGACCGGATAAACCCTCTAATGATCACCCCTATTAGCAATCGAGTGGAATCAAACTCATAACCTCTTAAGTAATATAATCAAGAGGTTATATTACTATTTCTAAGAGTTATTTGTAGGGGTGGGCAAAACTGAATATCCGATCTGGTTGGGGATTTTTCTAATATGATTCGAATATTCAGAATAGGATAAAACCTTATCTAAATTCGATCTAGATTTTAGGATATTCAATTGTTTAGCACAGCCAATTTGGTATCCAATCTGGAAATTCAGATTTTCCAAAATTGTAATCTTGTATCCGATCCAAAAATTTGGATATTCGATTTTTTCTAATAGAATCCAATCGGATATCAAATTTTTTTGCATACCCCTAATTATTTGGCCACCCGGGGTTGGTTAAGCCAACATGATATTTCTTGCCAGATCAACAACAACTCTTTTCATTTCTCCGATTGCAATTTCCTTTAGGCGTTTGCTAAATAACCTTATACTATTTCTAAGTTTACCCAAAAGTCAGCCCAATTCCATCTTAAATTTATTTCCAGACACTCTCCTACACCCCTCGGCCCAATTAAGCCCATAAAGAATTTGGACTTGCTGTAAACCATGCGTAAGGTCAAAGTGAATTGGCCTAATACTTTATGGAACTAGTTGAAAGTTTGGCCCAAGGGTCAACCATTAAATTTTGGCCCAATACTTTAGTGTAAAGGGTATAATTACAAGATAAATTTAATATCTAAATACAAATTATATAGTAATAAATGTTAACCCAATATTAAATCAAACTAAATACAAATAACTGTATTTAAATTTAATTTATTCTTACTAAAATAAAAATACTAAAGTCGTATTGACTTGGAAGTGTCACGTCAATATTGTTTTTTTTATTTTCTTGGAAAACAAACAAACCCTAAACTG